TAGTGTGTCAGTATCTTCAATGTGTTGAAATGCGGTCGTTGGGTCGTCTTTAGTGGCGTTGGGGGCGGGTTAGGCGGTAGTAGGGAGTCGGGGGTAGCGAAGTTGAAAGTGGTCGTAGTGATTGCAGAGGGGGTGGGGGGTGTTTGATTTCAAAAAAAAAATTGCACACAGCACAAATGGAATGAAAAAATTCTTGCGGGGCTGTCAGAAAGAATAAATGTTGCAAAGCTGTGGATCATCCTGCAGAACATTGAGAAGGGGAAAAATATCCTGCCCACAAGGTTTCTGGGAAAAATTTCTTGTTGACCAGAAATCACCCACCACCCCAACACCCCCCACCCCCCTCCTTCAAGAGTTAAATGGTCAGCCCCTCACCAAAACTTAAATATACTTCATTTGCCAACAAGAGTAAAATATTAAATGCATCTTTAAGGAACGTTCAGTTTGTTTCTTAATTTAACATTTAAAATAGTTTTATGGTAAAATCTTAAGCCCAAAACATTGTTACAAAACACAGTTGAAAGAAAAAAATGACTGTCACATACTGACTAGATGGGCTGCACATGCAGAGGTTTACAGCTGTATACCTAGAACTATGTCCAGAATAATAATTAATAACTTTAGATTAAACCAAAGCCTAAACCTTCTTCCAGAGCGGAAGTCATTACTTCTTCAAAGGCTGGCATGTCTCTGTAATGGACTGGCAGATGAATACTTGGATCACAAGTAGAAGCTGTGGGCCTGCATTTACAGTCACTCATACAAAAGTGCGTGAAATGCACTGTAATCACCCTCTCCAATCCCAGTGGTGTAAGGCTATCACTGCCGGTAATAAACTTGTAGAGTTTTACAAGTCCTCCTACAAAGTAATTGTACACTGTTAATAATGACCATGACCATTATGTATAATAATTTGGTAAAAACAACAAGCAGCACTGACAGTCATGTTTGTTTTTTAACACATATACTTTAAAATATAACTTTTGAATTTCTACCTTCTGTGGTCCCAAGATCTTGCACAAAGTCGCAGAAGTTTTTGAACACATCTATTTCACAAGCTTTACGATTGCTCCCCTCCTCACTGAACAAGACATTCAGGCCTTCAATGAAAAGATCAGGTGTTGGCTGAAAATGTTGTGCTCCATCCATGGTAAACAATGGCTTCATGACATTTTTGTGACTTCTGATATAGTCCAAGGCTCCAAAAGAAGCAAGGCCAGTAATCATTTGGTCAATAGTTGTCAGTGTCTTGGCTATTCCAGTGATCACAAATGATCTGACAGCAGAAATAAATGTATATATAAGTATACAAATGTTGAGTTGTGGGGTGGAAGAATCAACATAACTTACATGTGCACTGGTGTTTACACACTAANAAGCTGTGGGCCTGCATTTACAGTCACTCATACAAAAGTGCGTGAAATGCACTGTAATCACCCTCTCCAATCCCAGTGGTGTAAGGCTATCACTGCCGGTAATAAACTTGTAGAGTTTTACAAGTCCTCCTACAAAGTAATTGTACACTGTTAATAATGACCATGACCATTATGTATAATAATTTGGTAAAAACAACAAGCAGCACTGACAGTCATGTTTGTTTTTTAACACATATACTTTAAAATATAACTTTTGAATTTCTACCTTCTGTGGTCCCAAGATCTTGCACAAAGTCGCAGAAGTTTTTGAACACATCTATTTCACAAGCTTTACGATTGCTCCCCTCCTCACTGAACAAGACATTCAGGCCTTCAATGAAAAGATCAGGTGTTGGCTGAAAATGTTGTGCTCCATCCATGGTAAACAATGGCTTCATGACATTTTTGTGACTTCTGATATAGTCCAAGGCTCCAAAAGAAGCAAGGCCAGTAATCATTTGGTCAATAGTTGTCAGTGTCTTGGCTATTCCAGTGATCACAAATGATCTGACAGCAGAAATAAATGTATATATAAGTATACAAATGTTGAGTTGTGGGGTGGAAGAATCAACATAACTTACATGTGCACTGGTGTTTACACACTAATAATTGTAAAGTTGCACGTAAGCAAAAAAGCTCACTTCAGTGAACACAAATATAAGAATCAGTGTAGGGTGCAAGGCAGCATCTGTAAAGCAAATGATCTGTAAAACAAATTGTAGCTCGTCATACATGCACAAAGCAACACATAACAATATAATTTTGTTGTTACAAGATGGGCCAATTCAAATGGGAACAGCTTAAGCCCGGCTACTGATTTGCATCATGTTACTGGTTAAATAATCAAGTACCTTTGAATTTCTGGAACAGAACTCAAGGTCTCCTTGGATGGTACCCCACGATACCCAAC